TAAACTCTAGTGAAGACTGACCGTCAGGGGGACAATCAGATGTCAACCACCAACAATGGAGGGTTGAGTAAAAAAAGTACTTGCCCCTTTGGTAAATCATGAACAAAATGTCAGCTGAGGGACTGACAAGGTGAATCACGTTAAAAGCTTTCAAAAAGCAACACAACAAAAAAATTCTTGATGATCCCAAAGACTTTTGGGGAAATATTCTGTGGCCTGATGAGACAAAAATTGAACTTTATGGAAGGTTTGAGTCCCGTTACATCTCACATAGAACTAACACAGTACTTCATAAAAAGAACATCACACCATGGTGGTGGCAGTGTGACGGCCTCGGGCTGCTTTGCTGCTTTAGGATGACTTGCTGTAACTGATGGAACCATGAATTCTGCTTTCTACAAGAGCCTGATATCCACTTACGAGGATATTATGTTGCCACTGGATCTCATTTTTCTCAGAAACAGAAATCAGGTTTAAAAGAAAAATCATGTAATTCTTTGTTTTTACATTCATCAGGTCCCAATCCGCCTAAATAGCAAAGAGAAATGAAAAATGCATGCCGTGAAAGAGTTCTTAGGAGGTTAAAGCAATTCTACAAAGAAGAATTTCCCAAAATTCAGAGATGTGAAAGACTCATCGCCAGTTATCACAAATACTTGATTGCAGTTCTTGGTGCGAAGCCTTGCATCTCCACTGCTGCAATAAATGGTTAAAGTTTGATACATGAAAAGGCAGAATTATCCAGAGTTTCAGCTTGATGTGTGGGGAGGACAGCTGGGTGTCTCCAGCTTCTGCAGCTTCTTACACAGCTACACGAGCCTAAAATAGAAACACATTAAAAGCCTTCAACGCTCACCCACTGCCTCCAGTAACGAGTGCAGCTACAGACTAGGTGCCTTCTTGATTAATGTTTGTTTAATATTTTAGACTTAAAGTGTTCATTAAGTGCTGAAAATTATCTAGCAGCCAGCTTGAGCTGATTGTTTTTAGCTGCAGCAATTAGTTAGGCAACTATTATGTTGCTTGAATAACCACTTCGTTTTCCCCCCAAACAAAACTGGCAAACATGTGCTTGTTACAGATTCTCTAAGCTGAGAACTTGCTGCTTTACTTTATCATATTCTGACAATATGAATACTGTAAACACATCCTTTAAAGATAACACCTTTGTTGTAGGCAATATATGTGTTATGAAGTAAGTTATGGAATAAAAATAGATGTAGCAGCTATGTTTGCCTTGCAATTGTCAAATTGTTAGTACACAAGTACACCCTGGGAAGCCCTCTTTTCTGATTCATCATCATCATCATCATCATCATCATCACCTTTATTTATAAAGCATTTTAAAACAACCACAGCTGACACAAAGTGCTGTACATTGGAACTGTAAAATAAAATGACATGAGATATAAATAAAAACCAAATAAAAGAAGAGTGAAATCATTAATTAACTACTTCATTAAAAGAGAAACTAAGTCTCACTGAGGTCATTCTAATAATGACCAAAATCTACAAAAATAACTACATGTTTTGTTTTTTCAGTGAGACTTGAGAATAGTGATGGGGCCATAAACACACCAGAAAGCCATCTGCTGAGCTCATAGAGAACCAGTTTCTCCATAGACTTCTATTAAACCAGAGGAGTCGCCCCCTGCTGGCCATTAAAAAGAACACACATCGACATTAGGTTCATTTTTATGACCTGGAAGCTACATCCATCTTTTCTACAGTCTATGGTTTCACCTATGTGTATGAGGTTTGTCAGCTTCATGTAACATGCCAAGATGTAGAAAAAAAAAAAAAAAAAAGCTTCTTGGAGCCATACCCTAAACCCAACAGGAAGTCCGCCATTTTAACATCAGTAATGTTTGACACAGCTAGCCATTTCCAGGTTTTATGCAGTGGTGTACTCCACCAAGACAATTAGTCAAATCTGCTTCACCCTTGGTTAGTTCAATCTAAAGATGTTTGCAGTGCTAATTTATAAAGCATTTGGATTTTCGTGCAACATCTTGGCGAATTTCGATGTTTCGCCACAGCACAAGAAGCAGCTAAACTCACAAATTGTTCAATCTTCCCCAAACTTTGTGGTGTTTGAAGCTTGTGGCAGAAAACATCTATAACCTAATATTAAGTCACGGTCATTGTACAAAAGGCCAGCCAGTTTGCAGAACTCACGAACGGAGCCACATCTGCTGAGTAAGATATCATTTGTTGATACTGCCTTATTTGGTTGAATGATCCACTATCCAGTATTGTTTGTATTGTTGTATTACACATTTAATACACTCTGTTCACATAATTATGGAAGACTTTTATGTTCTTTCCACCAGAAACCACACCATCACTCACCACACGGCATATAGCATTTTACAGCCTGTTAAATCCCCGCACTCACATTATGGATGTGTGCTTCGGATTCTTGTTAATTAAATGAGTGAACAACAGATACCTGAGTGGCAGTGGATTTTGTGGATACGCCATCTGTTCTTATCGGACAACCCTGTTGAGATTGTGGATTCATAGAGTCAGCACCTTGTCATCTACATCATTCATAGTCAGGAGGTCAAGTCCATCCCTCTTAAAGTGACCTCCTCCATTACAGTCATAGCACACAGTGTGCCACAGTCATAGCAGCAACAGGAAGTCTAAATGACTGTGTGATTAAAAAAAATGTTTAAAAATCATATGTAAGTGATATTTGTAAGGTTCGTTCTGAAGGTTCGTTCTGAAAAATATTGACTTCAGAGATCAATCAGTTGTTTGTGTCACACTTCTCTGCAACCCATGCTTTGCACTGCAGTACTGACGTGTAGCCTGGATTTAATTTCCGATTGTCTACACCTGACCAGGTGTGTATAAATTATAAAACTTTCCCCTCAGAACTTGGATGTCAGAGCTCAGAGTGACAACACAGCCACGTTTCCATTGGCAGTCGCCAGAAAAACAGGCTTTGTTTTGCTCTCTAGCGAGGTAGGGCCACTCAATGATCAACAGCAATACCTGAGCCCTGTACTAAAAACGGAACTTTATCTTATCCAGGTATCTTTAAGGTTGGCTCTGAGTTTACTGTACTCCTAAGGTCTTTCACTTCCAACCAAAGATTTATTGAACCTCTGCAGGGAGAACAGTTTTTCAGTGTCTTTGTGTTTCTCTGATGGGGATCAGTAATAAATATAATTCTTAAATGCAACTTTATTCCTTTTTTGTGTTAGCAGAAAATAATTTTGCACAGTTTTATGGGTACATGTCTTAAGTTCTTTATTAATTTTTATTTGGCAACCATTTGATAATGTCTCAAAAAAAATATTATGTTAATAAAAGCACTCCTAAAGTAGGTGATGCTCATAGGTAGAATTTTCTGTGGAATAAAAGTCAAATGCTCTGCAAAACGCCCCTTTTAGATTGGTCAGATGCTGGAAACACCGCGTATTTCATGTGAATAATCAGCATAAATGCTGCGTTAGTTTATAACTAGCTTTGTGTGACCATTTATCCTGATTGCAAGCATTTGGGTAAGTGAAACCAGATACGTGAAAGATACACTACGCTGAACCCTTTATAGTATATAGTATTTGTTTTTTGGGGGAAGGGGCTTATATCTACAAAAATGTTCATGGGCACAGTCTGGTCTGTATACAGCTTAGTTAGCAAAACACAAATACTCAAAAACGGTGGTTCAGATTACAGGTTCTACGGTTTACAACACTCTGCTGCCATCTTGAATCACAAAGTCTGACTTTACGGAGGTCGTCACAGCTGAAAACTCCAACTGAGAACTTTGGATTTACTGCCTCCCACTGCAGACATAGGCATGCCTGAGGTTGGATTGGGAGAGACAAGTCTTATTTCTCTCTTGACTGCAGTTGTGAACTCTGTTAAATTTAACTTGGATTACTTAGTGCTACTTTCAACTTCTTCTGTAGGTATTTCTTCATATCTAATTTGACAGATTTTTGACAGATTTTTATGCTGGACGCCCTTCCTGATCCAACTCTAAGGGATTTATGTATCCTCCTGTTCTCAAATCAATGGACCTCTACACTATGGAACCACAACTGATAAAACCCATTGTCCTAAAAAAAAATGACAGAAAATTAATCACTCTATATGACAAATTGATCACCTAAATCTTTTTTTAAAGCTGAATTTCAACCTTTCTCTGCTTCCAGCCTCTCAAACACAATGATACTTGGGTTTCTCTTAATGCCATGATTGTACACCAAAGATCTGGACTAAAAATAGTATTTAGGAGGATTTCCAGGATAGTGTGATGCAGTTTTTCCAACATTTCCCAACATTTTACGGACTAGATGATTACTCTTCTAATTGCAAACGTAACTCTGGGATGACCTTTAAATAACTTATTGGCAAAGATCTACGTTAAACACCTGAGAGGTGGAACCAAAACATGCTGCTAGTTAGCTTTATATATATATCAATGAATCCACTCACGTTTCAGTACCAAAGAATCTGAATGCCAATTTTAGCTCCAATTTCCCAAATTTAACCCCAGCTTATGAGTGAAACTAGCGACTGCTTTAACTATGATGTTTATTTTCTAAAATTAATCATCCTAGTCCTAAAATTCTAAATCAGGAGGTTAAACCAGGCTTAAAACCAATCCGGAGTTTGTTTCAGATCACTTCAGGGACCTCTGGGAATGCTCAAACTCAGACAGACGTGCTCTCAGCCCTCTCTAAAAATACTCCATCCATCCATTATCCATCCATCCATCTGCTATAATGAGAAGCAACTGACTCCAACCAAAGATCGACCCCGATGCGGCCATCCGGGTCAGACATCACCGGAGCTCAGCATCCATCACAGGAAGCCAGCTGGCCTCAGTTAAATCCCAAAGAGTCTGCATTTTAGTGCGTAAAAACACGTCCTCTCCAGCTAAAAGCATCAGTTAAAATAAAGATGCGCTCCTTCCTGATGTTTGACAGCAAGTGTTTGAGACAAATAAAGCGCGCCGTGCGCGTTAATCTGCCACTCACCATCATCCCCGACAGGTTGACGCGCCTCGTCCGCGTTCGCATCACGGCCAAAGGAGCCTCCCGAGCCCGAAACACCGACCATTTCCACCGTTTTGACCCCGGACGGCGTGCTCAGTGTTCCCCGGCAGCCTGCAGGGCGGTGGATCCCCGGCCGCTCGGACTAGTCATCCATCGGGGAGAAAGTCTTACAGCAATCGATTAGTAAAATAACCGTTACATGCCGGATATAAAGCAGAGCTGTGTGTGAGCAAACAAAAAGAGCTGCTGGATGATCCGGGTTGTGGGCTGGTTGGATGGCCGGCTGGATGGATAGTTGGAGGATACTGAGCCGCTCGCATTAAGCGGGTAGAGGATGGCCTCTGCAAAAAATAAAAAATAAAAAATAAATGACGAGGGCTCACTTGTCAGAGCCTGCACGGCTTTACTGATTATGAAGGAGGGACATTTAAATTCTAGCAGCGGCTCCTAGAGGCTGAGCTCTTAAATGCAACCACAGGATGAAGCTTCCTTTTATACTGTTTATTTAATATTAATTCAGTATTGCTCTGATATCGAAGGCTACAGGCACTACCTGCTGGTAAAGGCCCTGGAGCACACTCCCCGAGTATTTCAAATGGAATTACAAGCCATGGGGTCCCTTAAATAGAGGGATCTTCTAAATACCAGTTAAACAGAACCAGAAGGAACTTTTAGCATTTGACAACAAGAGTGAAGAAGTCACAGAAGTACAGCAGCAGCGTTTAAAGGCCGAGAGGTCATATTTACACCTGTCACTAATTATAGGAGTATTTTACTGACTGATTTCTGCCTCCAGTCTTATGTACCTGCTGAGATTTCTCCTCCCACATTTAATCAGAAATAAACCCCAATGACCTTCAGTAACACTTGGTCTGTCATCGGTTGGCCAGAACATTGACCACATGATCATAAC